ATGCGGCTCGATGCGGAGCCCGCTTTACTCCACGCCGACGTTGCCGATGAATCGCCGACGTCGCCGGTGCATGGCCGATGGATCTGCGATATATCGGCGATGCATCGTCGATGTATCGGCGATGCGGTGAGATCCTCCGACCCCATCTACTCGGACCCCATCTAGGGGGCCTCTAATTCCTAGAGCCCCGACGCCGCGATGTGTTCACGACGTGGACCCCACAAATCTCGACCCGTTCTTCGGGACTGGCTTTTTCATCTTAGGTCGTGTTCGACGATCCCGAGGCCCAAGAAGGTCCCCCAGAGGCCGAAAAGGGCGAAACGCCTTCCGTCGTGAGCTTCTCATGACTCGAGGGGGTCTCGGTCACGGGGAAGCCAAAAGGACACCAACACCGCTACTCCCCGGACCGCTCCGGGGGTGCGTTCTGACCAGAGTTCCGATGCGAATCCAGCGGTGGCGACGAGAGCCTCCCAGGAGGCCCCCAAAAGGGGAAGACGGCCGAAGGGTAGGAGGAGGAGGAGGAGGAGGAGGAGGAGGAGGAGGAGGAGGAGGAGGAGGAGGGGTACCTTGTTTTCCTCTGAAAGTAAGACGTCCGCAGGCGGGCCGTCCTCCCGCGGGTCGTCATCCTTGGGGTCCTGCGAGCAGGTGGTCGCCGCGCGGGCCGTCTTCCTCCGGAAGCTTCCGTCGTCGCGGCGCTCGCCGCCTGCGGCCACGGCCCGCTGGGAGACCGCCCGGCTCCTCATCCTCCTCCGCCCTCCTCCTCCTCCTCTCATCCTCCTCCTCCTCCTCCTCCTCCTCCTGCCTCCTCGACCCTCCTGCTCCTCCTCCTCCTCCTCCTCCTCCTCCTCCTCCTCCTCCTCCTCCTCCTCCTCCTCCTCCTCCTCCTCCTGACCCTCCTCCTCCTCCTCCTCCCTCCCTCCTCTCCTCCTCCTCCTCCTCCGACCTCTCCTCCTCCTCCTCCTCCTCCGCCACCTCCTCCTCCTCCTCCTCCTCCTCCGCCACCTCCTCCTCCTCCTCCTCCTCCCTGCCCCCTGCACCCCTCTGCTCCCCCCTGGCCCCTCCCCCCGTGCCACCCCTCCGACCCCGCTGGCCCGCCTCAACGGCACGCCCTCCCGCACACGCCCTGCCCGAGCACTCTCGCCGCGCCCTGCGCCCCGCTCGCACCTCTGGCGCCCTTCCCGCCCGTGCCGCCCCGCGCGCCCTTCCCCTGAAGACCTCAAAACATGTTTGATTCGCGGGTCGAGAGCGAGCCTCTTCCGGTCGAAGCTAAGCGGGCCGCGCACAGCTTTAGAGGACCTCAAAACATGTAGCCCCGCCCCCGTCCCCGTCTGTTCTTTCAGGCTTCGGCTCGAGTCCATGGACTGCCTGTGCCTAGACTTCTCCAGAGACGGGTCGGCGACACTGCGTGCTCTGTGAGACGGTTGGAAGCACAAGGGGGGGGGGGGAGGGCCAGCTGAGAGAGAGGGAGGGGGAAGAAAAGGCGTGCAGAAGAGCTCTCAGACCCGTGTCCAACGCGACAACCTCGGCCTCGGAGGCGCTATAGCCGCCCCTGTCCCTCCGCCCTCATATCTACCCCCCCGTTCCCTCCCCTCCTCCCCGAGACCTCCAAGCCCACCCCCCGCCCCTCTCCACCCCTCCCCCACTCCCGTTACCTGCGGTCCACTCCGCCGCACATGCAACCCATTTACTCCTTCCCCGCTCCCGCCCCCTCCGCTCCCCGTTCCCTTTCCCGTCTCCAACGTGCCATACATCAGAGTGAGGGGGCCGAACGGTCAGTCATTGTCCCTGGGTGCGTGGCTGAAGTGGGGATACGTGGTGAAGAGTATGTTTGTTGCTTTGTTGTTTGTTTGTTTGTTGTCGTCGTCCCACACGCGACCCACCCGCGACCCACCCCGCGACCCACCCCGCAACCCACCCAGCGACCCACCCCACGACCCACCCCGCGACCAACCCGCGACCCAACCCGCGACCCACCCGCGACCCACCCCGCGACCCACCCGCGACACACCCGCGACCCACCCCGCGACCCAACCCGCGACCCACCCCGCGACCAACCCGCGACCCAACCCGCGACCCATCCGCGACCACCCCGCGACCCACCCGCGACCCATCCGCGACCCACCCCGCGACCGATCCGCGACCCACCCCGCGACCCACCCGCGACCCACCCCGCGACCTACCCGCGACCCACCCGCGACCCACCCACATTGATCTCACGACAAAACTCGGCGCCTGCGGCGGGCTCGTTGCATCATGTGTCAGATTTTGGCGCGTGCGGCGGGCGTCTCCAGACTCTCGCAGCGGGGTGCTACTTATCCTCTGGTGCTCCCCACAGGTGGCCCTGGCCCGCGTCCCCAGGGATGCCGCGGGGGGCCGCGGCGACCCCCAACTGGCCCCGAGCGAGGCCCGGAGCCCACCCTCGGGGCCCCAGTGGCTGGGGAGCGGAAGGCACATCGAACCAGAGACGCGTCTGTGAAGGCGCGGCCTTCCACCGCTCTCCCCCTTCGGTGGTTCAGGGGTGAGGTCGTTTTTTTGTTTTTCCTCATACTGGGCGATGGCGTGTAGCGCCATGCGCTCGCTTCCGTCCCCTGGATGCCAAGTGCCAGCCACGCGCCGCCGGATTCATTCCCAGGTGGCTCACAAACGAATGCTGCGCCAGCTGCGGTTCAGGGGTGAGGTCCTGAGGGATGGGGCCCACACGACGAGGTGCCCCAAACGATGTGAATCCCACCCTGCAGCCCTTCCCACCCTTGGGGGCCCCATCCCTCGGGGCCCCCTTTTCGACCCGCCGACACCCCGCTTCCCCCCACCACCCGAGCAGAGGAGAGGAAGGCAGAGACGGCGGCCCAGTGGGCTGCTCTTCGACGGGGATGTCGGCGCCACGCCCGTCCACGGCTGCGGCAGCTCCTCGACGGGGACGACCTCGGCCAGCGGAGCTCGGCTGGCCCCCCGGGGGGGGGAGGAGCCTCTGGAGGCCTACAGCTGCCGCCGCCCTGCTGCGGGTTGCTGCGGGCTGCTGCGGGCTGCTGCGGGCTGCTGCTGCCGCTGCTGCTGCCGCTGCTGCTGCCGCTGCGACCCCCCTTCCCCCGACCCCCCCCCCCTCGCACAACACCCCCCCCCCAAAAAAAACGGGAGTCCGAACCTCCCCCCCTCTCCCTGGGCCCCCCCGGGGAAGTTCGAACCCCCCCCCCGCTCTCCCCAAGCCCTCCCGGGGAGTTCCGAAGCCGGCAGCCGCCGACGCCAACGACGACGACGACGACGACGACGACGACGACGACGACGACGACGACGACGACGACGACGACACATTCTTGCGCCAAGGGGGGGGGATTCGAACCCCCCCCTGTCCAGGCCCTCCCGGGGAGGGTTTCGAACCCCCCCCCCCTACGCGCCGCCGGCAGCCGCCGCCGCCGCCGACAACGACGACGACGACGACGACGCCGACGACGACCAACAACGACGTTTGCCGGCGGCGAGTCCCCCCCCAGTGCAAGGGGGGGAGCGTTCGATCCCTTCCCCCCCTTGCCCTAATTACCCTTCCCTTCCCCCCCGCTGCTCGCCGACAGCAAACGACGACGGACGACGACGACGACGACGACGACGACGACGACGACGACGACGACGACGACGACGACGACGACGACGACCACGTTGCGTTGCGTTGCGTAGGCGTCATACAGGGGTGCCTCCTGGGCCCGACGCCGCTCACAGAAACTTAAAGGGTAGCAGCGTCGAGAATTATCTTAAAGATTTCCGCCATTCAAGCCACGTCTTCTGTCCCTCCCTCCAAGACAGCCCTGAGACGGGCTTCAGAAGCCAGTGGCCCCCATAAAACTTATAGAAGTCACGCTCCCAACGCCAGATCCCGACTGTACGGTGATGCAACTGGGAGCCCTGCCATCTAGTCATTTCTATCATCCATGCCCTATCGTGATACCGAAGGACGCGATACGCGATCCTCTCAGGACAGGCTCTGCCAAAAGACTGTAAGAAACCTCCCCAATTGTGCTGCATCCTTCTGCAGGTCCGGGGCCACGATTCTACATTGCATCTAGCTCTGACATCAGCAACGCAATGCATGGCGGTCTTCATATATTCGGCTGCGGATTCCCCGCGTGGCGGACGGATCATACGTCTAAGCATGGTATTGTGACATTTAGAGATCCTACTCATGGCAGAGACAGTAATATGTAGACTCCCTATGCAATAGGTCAGGGCTGGGCGAACACAACGGTCCAGGGCCTTCAATATTTTCTGAAGGCTTATCTTTCGATTGGTCAGCATTGCACGGTGAACGGCCCAAGTGCGCCACGCGCGCTGAATTCTGTTGCAGACCTCGTGTGTGCAGCTGCGATCGAAGGCAACAAAAGTCCCGAGCACTTTTAAGCCTTCGGCTCTGGCTCTGCAGGGGATGCACGTGCCACGTACGCGAAGCGTGCCGATATGTGACGGATACGTGTGGCACCACTCCATTTCCTGCACAGGGACCTCTAGACCACTACGCTCAAGGATTCGAAGCCAAGCTTCAGTCATCATCGCGGCCATCGGGACCGATCTCGCTAAGATCGAAAAATTATCGGCGAAACTCAAGACACCTAAAACCTCATCCTCCTCTCTAGGGGTGGTCAAACAAAGACCCCAGCCATTTTTACAGCAAAGGTCGTGGAAAGCGAAAAGACACTGGTCGAGAAAAACATTGCTGAGCTCGGGCGCCGCAGAGTCTCCCTGGATGAAGGACTTCCCACGCCGAATCTGGTCCGTGAGGGCATTCCCAGGGAGGCGAACTCTGGCCTGAGAGCGGCGAGTTTCACGGATCCAAAACGAGATAGCTACGCGTGCGACCCCGTGACTGTCGAGGCGACGGGCCAGAGCGGCGTGCTGAATAAAATCATAAAACTTTCTAATGTCTCCGCCCACGACGACGAGTGGGGGGTCCTTATACTCGCAGAACTTCCCTACTAAGGGGCGCAAGCTATATATGACTTCGTGGGCCTGATAACCTCTACGAAAAGCGAACTGGTTCTCACTGCGACACGATTCGATCACTCCTCGCTGCGTTTCCATCACCATCATGCTCTGTATCTTCTGCAACACCGAAATCAGGGCTATCGGGCGAAGCTGACTGATCTTTCGGGCATCTGGCACTTTTCGGATGAGCTGAACCACGTGGCCACTCCAGGCCGTGTCGAAATATTCCGAGGTGTGATTCCTGAGCCGCAGTCTGAAGGCCTGCAGCAGGTGCTCTAAGACGTCCTTCTCCAGCCCCTGGAGCATTTCGCCCACGATCATGTCAGTCTCGTCGCAGGACTTGCAGCTCTTGAGGCGGCCGATGCACATGCAGAGAAGCGGGAGGCTCAAAGGCACGGACTGTTGTTGCTCCTCGGCTGACCACTGCTGGTGGATCCAATCTGGCAGCTGTCGGTCACTGGTCGCGTCCTGGAACAGTTGAGTGTAGAAGGTGTGAGCCTCCTGCAGTCTCTCGGCACTGGTGGTAGCCTGGCCGCCATCCATCTTGTCAAGGCAGCGTACTGGGCGTCCCGTCTTGTAGGCCTTCTCGGCCCGACCTCGCTCGCACAGACGGGCCAGGTGCTCAGTGGAACATCGGTCTCTCATAGCCCGCTTCAGCTTGCAGACCGCAGGCCCCATGAGGTGTCTCACTCTCGGGTCCTCCTCCGCGGCTCGCGCGCGCTCCAGGGCCTGCAGCTGGAGCAACTGGGCGTCGCCTGGCGGCGGCCGCCACCGGCCTCGGCGTGGGACGTGGCCAGCCTTCGCGGCGGCCGCGCAGATGGCGGCTGACAGGAGGCCCAGCGAGGCGATACCCTGACGCGTGCTGGAAGCAGTCGCCGTAGGCGCTGTCAGGTGAAGACCCAATGCGGCACCCGCGTCCTCCCTGAGGATGTCGGCCCGGCGTCGCTTCCGCTCCGCACGGCAGGCTGCGCGGCGGGCAGCACAGGTGTCCTGGAAGCCAGCCGAGTCCCAGTCAGGTGTCGGATATGGCCGTCTCCAGTGGCTGTCGCTGTAGCGCTGGCCACTGCCCTTCTTAGCGAGGTAGTCTGCCTGCTCGTTGCCCGTGTTCCCGTTGTGGCTCTTCACCCATCTGATGATCATGTCATAAGCGGTCTGGCAGCGCCGCCACAGGTGGGTGGCCAGGGTCGCAAGCTCAAAATTCTCCTTCGGCTGGAAGACACCCTGCAGCAGGTTGCGCACGTACGTGGAATCGGTGCTGACGATGATGCGGGTGCCGTCCCGTACTAGTGGCTGAACGAGTAAACGCTGTCCGAGTAGCCAGAGCAGCGCCTCAATGATGGCTGTCAGCTCACCCGTGTTCGCCGATAAACATGTCGCGCCCACAGATCGAGGGTCCTGCACGTCAGTGGTGACCTGACCACAGACCTCCAGAAGGCTGGTATCCTGGTCATTCGGCTCGGCTACGTGATAGAGTGCGAAACCCCAGCCAGCCGCATGGCACCGATGACGTCGCTGTCGATCTCGTCCACGCCGAGCAGAGCCGTCAGTAAAGATCCCCATCGCGTTCGTCATGTCCCCCTCAGTGTACATCGCGGTCTCTGGCGGGGTGTAGCTGATCTCCAGGGACGTGCAGATGGTGGAGTTGAACAGCTCAGGGTCCTCGACCTGCCAGCCCACGGGCTTCCGTGGTGGTCGCTCAATGGTCTCCATCGGTGTCAGCTCGGTGTGGCCATCTATCGTGGGAACACCTTGGCCAGCGTGGCAGCGCAGGAGGAGCGGCAGGTGGTCGCTCGAAGAGGCGTCGGTGAAGCGGGCCTGACAGTGCGTCCGCGGCAACCAGTCGCGGTGGATCAACATGAAGTCGATCTGTCTAGGCTCCTTGCGATTGTCAAAGAAACAGGTGGCCTGGCCCCACTGTCCACGGGAATAAGTATTAGCAGCTATCAGATCGAACTCGGTCATAAGGTCGCGAAGCATCTCGCCTCGCCAGGTCATCTCGGAAGTAGAGAAAGGGCCCACAGTGTCTCCGTCAGGCATCCCTAGGCCGTCCTGGGCATCGATGCTGACAATGGCGTGGCAATCAATCGGCATGGTAATCAAGCATTCTCGTAACTGCTGGACGGTCTCCGCGTACTCACATCGAACGATATGCGAAAACAGGTGGCTAGTGATAGCCCGCACTCGACCCCAGATAGGCAACTGTAAGTCCAGGGCCATGGTGCGACCGTGGAACTGCGGCTCGCCAATGACGGAGGGCGCCAGTGAGTTGGCCACCGCTATCGCACACCTCGGCCAAGCCCCCGATGGAGGCGACACGTGCACAACATAGCCGTCATAAGTCTGCAGGGCTCCACCAGCAACGCACCATTCTTGAAAAAGGATCAGACTAGCATCGAATTCGTCGGTCAGCGACTCGAGCACGGCACGGCGCCGCTTCGCAAGGACACCTCTCGCATTCCACCCAAGAACCGTGAGGTCCCTGATGTCCTTAACGTAGCGCCTGCCCCGTACTCGAAATCACTGGAGCCTCGGAGGGTCGTTGATCTCGCTCAGCCGCTCGTGCAGCTTGAGATCCTTGAGCTCCTGGTCCAGAACAGCCGCTGCCGGGGCGTCGGTGCTGACCTCGAGCATGTCTGACGTCCTGGAGCGCTGCAGTAGGCGAACTGGCCTCTCCGTACTGTTCTTGCGGAAGACCACCTGTCCGCGGTCCCAGTCGCCGTCGAAAGTCCGCTGCTTCGACTCCTCCGTGCACAATCCCGACTGAATGCCGAACTCGCGCAGGATCCTCACCGCGCAACTGACCCGCCGCGAGAGCTCCACCTCGTGGGGCCCCTGGTCAACCTTGTGCCACAGCTTGTCGTTGCGCGCTCCAGGGCATGGGATCTCCTGGCCCTTCCAGCGCTGCATGAAGCCCCACATCTTTTGATTGTTCGCGAAGACCACTTTGGCCTGGTCGCAGAACCTCCCCACCCCGTAGATCTCCGTGATCCCCTGCGCCTCTAGGGAGATCGCCCTGGCGAGCTCCGTACGCAAGTGCTTCTCGACCTCATCCTTGTCCCACGTGCCTGTGAAGCCCGCGACGAACACCATGTGCTTGCAGTTCTTCCCTCCTCGCGGCCGTGACGTCGGCGGCGGCATCCCGCCAGCACGCTGCTGATCCAGGTACGCGCCCCACGGATCAGGCTGGCCGCTCACATGGGAAGCAGATCCCAAGCCCGCTCTTGGTCCGACCGAACTCCTCACCTGTGACCAGTCCCGTCTTGCGCCGCTGATCTCGCTCCCAGGCCTGGCCAGGTGCGTCGGCTGCCACGCCAGCAGGCAGTACGGGCGGCGGGGCATTCACGAAAGCCATCCAGGATCGCTGCAAAATGCGCGCGAGGATGCCTCGAACTCGAGAGTGGCCAGAACTCCTGTCTCAGATCCAGGCGGGGCCGCCTGGACGGATGTGCGATCTCCAGAGCTGCCTGGGTGCCGTCTTGAGCCAAAATGACGACGACCACGACGACGACGACGACGACGACGACGACGACGACGACGACGACGACAACGACAACGACACGACGACAACATTGACGACGACGACGACGACGAAGACGACGACGACGACGACGACGACGACGACGACAACGACGACGACGACGACACAACGACGACGACGACGAAGACGACGACGACGACGACGACGACGACGACGACGACGACGACATGACGACGACGACGACGACGACGACGACGATACAACGACGACTAAGACGACAAAGACGACAAAGACAACGACGACGACGAAGACGACAAGACGACGACGACGACGACGACGACGAAGAAGACGACGACGATGACGTCGACGACGACGACGACGACGACGGGCGGACCCCTATCGGACGGGCCGAGTGGGCGGACCCCAACGGGCGGGTCGGGTCGGGCGTGCGGGACAATAAAGTCAAATGCGTATACAGCATGACACATGAGAACCCTAACGGGCGGGTCGGGACGGGACCCCCTATCGGGCGGGTCGGCGGACCCCACTGGGCGGTCGGACGGGCGGGCGGGACACTAAGTCTGATGCGTATACAACATGACACATGAGAACCGTAACGGGCGGGTCGGGACGGGCGGACCCTATCGGGCGGGTCGGGCGGGCGGACCCTCGGGCGGGTCGGGTCGGGCGGGCGGGACACTAAAGTCTGATGCGTATACAGCATGACACATGAGAACCCTAACGGGCGGGTCGGGACGGGCGGACCCTACCGGGCGGGTCGGGCGGGCGGACACTATCGGCCGGGTCGGGTCGGGCGGGACACTAAAGTCTGATGCGTATACAGTCTGCCTCCTCTCTCCTCCTCCTCCTCCTCCTCCTCCTCCTCCTCCTCCTCCACCTCCTCCTCCTCCTCCTCCTAATCCTCATTCTGCTGCTCCTCCTCCTCCTTCTCCTCCTCCTCCTCCTCCTTCTCCTTCTCCTCCCCAGCCTCTTCGCCTTTTCTCGCACACTGCCGGTCCCACCCCTGAACCACCGCCCCCTCCCGCTGCTGTTCCTCCTCCTCCCCCGCCCTTCTCCCCCCTCCTTCTTCTCCAACGCGGACGATGCGGTCGTCGTCATCGTCGTCGTCGTTTGCCGGCGGCGAATAGGGGGGGTCGAACCCCCCCCTGGCGTAAGAATGTGTCGTCGTCGTCGTGGTCGTCGTCGTTGTCGTCGTCGTCGTCGTCGTCGGCGGCTGCCAGCGGCTATGGGGAGGGGGGGTAAGCGTGGAAGGGGGGTTCGAAACCCCCCGGGGGGGCCTGGGGGGGCGGGGGTTCGACCCCCCCCCATGGTGCAAGAATGTGATGTGTCGTCGAATTCGTCGTCGTCGTCGTCGTTGGCGGCGGCGGCTGCTGGCGGTTGGGGAGGGGGTGGGGGGGGTTCGAACCCCCGGGAGGGCTCGGGGAGGGGAGGGAGGGGAGGTTGCACCCCCCTCCCTCCTTTTTCGGGGGGGGGGGGGGGCGGTTCCCGAAATCCCTCCCACCCCCTCGTTTGTGGGTGTGGGGGGGGGGGGGGCGTTGGACACCCATCCACCCCCTCTGCCAGTGGCGCCAGAAAGCGCTCTTTCCGATCGCCCGATTTGGACATCGGACAATTCTAGGCCTCCAGCGGCCTTCACCTTCAAACCTTGAACGCGCGCGCTGGGGTCGCCGCCGCGTCGGCAAGATACGAACCTGCCATATGGTGAGGGGGAAGGAGGAGGAGGAGGAGGAGACAGGAGAAGGAGGAGGAGGAGGAGGAGGAAGAGGAAGACGAGGAGGAGGAGGGGGAGGGGGAGACGGAGGGGGAGGGGGAAAAGGAGGAGGAGGAGGAGGAAAAGGAGGAGGAGAAGGAGGAGGAGGAAAAGGAGGAGGAGGAGGCCTGTCCCCTCTCCCTCCCCCCCAGAGGCCACCAGGGGCCCCCAGAGGTCTGCAGGGAGCCCCAAAGACCTCCGCAGCAGCCCTCTGCTCCCGCTCCCCACGTTCCCCATGTCCTCCTGGTCCGTGTTCTCCTCCACAGCCTCCTGCTGCTCCTCCTGCTGCTCCTCCTTCTGCTCCTCCTGCTGCTGCTCCTCCCCCTCCACCCCTATGCTCCGTCCACCTTCTAGCCGTGCTCCACACCCGCCCTCTCCTCCTTGCCCCTCCTTCCCCTCAGCATCACCATCTTCATCGTCATCATCATCATCATCATCATCATCATCATCATCATCATCATCATCATCATCATCATCATCATCATCATCAGCATCATCATCATCACCATCATCATCATCATCATCATCATCATCATCATCATTAGCATCAGCATCAGCATCATCATCATCAGCAGCATCATCATCATCATCATCATCAGCATCAGCAGCAGCATCAGCATCATCATCATCATCAGCATCATCATCATCACCATCATCAGCATCATCAGCATCATCATCAACATCATCATCCTCGTCTCATCATCATCATCAGCAGCCGCATCATCATCGTCATCGTCATCAGCATCAGCGTCAGCATCATCATCAGCATGAGCATCATCATCATATCATCAGCGTCGCGAATATCATCATTGTCGTCGTCAGCACCAGCAGCAGGACAGAGGCCACCACCACCATCATCATCATCACCATCATCATCACCATCATCTAGTCACCGACATCATAATCATCAACTGCAGCAGAAGCATGCTCATCCGAATCATCATCACCCCTCCTCCTCCGCATCACCATCCTCAGCATCGTCAACATCATCATCGTGGTCATCGGCATCGTCATCGTCATCAGAATCATTGCCATCATCACCAGCATCACCATCATCATCTGCATCATCATCATCACCATCATCAGCATCATCAGCAGCATCATCACAATGATCATAGTCGTCGTCATCATCATCAACATCAACATCAACATCAACATCAACATCATCATCATCATCATCATCATCATCATCATCATCATGATCAGCAGCAGTATCATCAACAGCATCACCACCACCATCAACAGCATCATCGACATCAGAATCCTCATCCTAATCACCATAAGCATCGTCATCATCATCATCGTCGTCGTCGCCATCGTCGTCATCGTCGTCATCGGCATCGTCATCGTCGTCGCTGCGTCAACGTCGTCATCACCATCATCGTCAGTATCCCTATCGGAATGTTCCTATCATTCACATTTTCACCGTCAGATGTTCGTAATCATAATCAGCATCATCATCATCGTCATCATCATCATCATCATCATCATCATCATCATCATCCCTATCATCACCATCACCATCTTCATCATCATCATCATCATCGGCAACACCAGTTTCCTCGTCGTCGGCATTGCCACCAGCACCATCATCGGCATCAGCATCATCAGCTTCAACATATGGATCGACATGCTCCCATCAGCCTCACCATAATTACAGCCGTCAGCACGATTGTCGTCATCATCATCATCATCGTCATCATCGTCGTCGTCAGCTTCGTCGTCCGCCTCAACCTCCTCCTCTTGCTCCTCATCCTCCTCCTCCACATCAACACCATCCTCAGCTTCATCCTCAGCTTCATCATCATCATCGTCATCATCATCATCAGCATCATCATCATCATCAGCATCATCATCATCACCATCATCATCATGATCAGCATCATCATCATCATCATCATCATCATCAGCATCATCACCATCATCGCCAGCGTCATCGTCATCGTCATCGTCATCATCTTCATCATCTTCATCATCATCTTCATCATCATTAGCACCGTTATCCCCATCATCATCCTCATCGTGATCATCAGCAGCATCATCATCATCGTCATCATCATCATCATCAGCATCATCATCATCATCATCATCATCATCATCATCATCATCATGGTCATCGTCATCTTCATCAGAATCGTCCACTACATTATCGTCATCATCCGTCTCAACCTCCTCCTTTTTCTTCTCCTCCTCCTCCTCCTCCTCCACATCATCATCATCAGCATCATAATCATTATCATCACCATCATCATAATCATCATCATCGTCATCGTCACCATAATCATCGCCAGCATCAGCATCATCATCATCATCATCATCATCATCATCGTCATCAGTATCATCGTCATCATAATTTGCGTCATAAGCATCGTGATCATAGGCATCGTCATCGTCATCGTCAACAGCATTACGATCATCACCGTCATCATCATCATCATCATCATCATGAGATTGTTTTTTTATTCTGGCCGATAACGCTCGTTACCCGGGGGGGGGGGGGGTCGTGCCCCTCGGGTAACGGTAACGCTTGGGCTGGGCGGGGTATGGCGAGGCAGGGGCGCTCTGCGATCGCCATAGTATGCGCGCGAGCAGCACTCTCTGCCTGAGAGCACCACAGTGGCTTGCGATTCGAGTACAAGCGCAAAGCCCGCCGCGTGGTCCCGGCACCACGCCCGCGCCCGCGCGCGCGACGACGATGATCGACGAGCGACGAGCGACGAGGTCGACGACGACGACGACGACGTTTGCCGCCTGTTTCGGCCTCCGGAGGCCGTTTTCGAGCGCCGTCGACGACGACGACGACGACGACGACGACGACGCCCACAGTGCGCCTGCGACCACCACACCACAGTGCGCATGCCTTCGGGCACCAGCATGTTGGAGGGGAAGACCGAGACCCCCCCCGCGTACGAGCGGTACCGTTACGGGGGGGGGGGGGGGGGGGGGGAGAGGCCCGGGTAACGAGCGTTACCCCCCAGAGGATAAAAAAACAATCTCCATCATCATCATCATCATCATCGTCGTCATCGTCGTCGTCGTCATCCTTTCTCATCATCACCAGCAGCAGCGTCATCGTCATCGTCATCGGCACCGGCATCATCATCATGATCGTCGCCATCGGCATCATCACCACCATCATCAGCATCAGCATCATTAATAGTCGTCATAATCATCATCGTCATACTCATCATAAACAGCATAACCATCATCAGCAGAAGCATCATAATCATCGTCGCCATCACCATCATCATCATCAACATCAGCATCATCATCAGCATCAGCATCATCACCATCATCATCGTCATCGTCGTTATCAACATCACCATCAGCACCATCAGCATCACCATCATCACCATCAGCCTCACATCACCGTCATCATCATAAACATCATCGGCAGCAGCATCACCAGCATCAGAATCATCATCGTTGTCGTCAGGAGCAACATCAACTGCTCTATTATCATCGTCATCCTTGTACTGCTGTATGCCATCATGAAACCAAACCCATTGTCCTCCTCAACCCTCCTTCAGATCTACCTGCTCCACTATCGGGCAGAAGGGGGGGAGAAATGAAGAGGGATCGCGATGACAGGGAGGAGCGGCAGGAAGAGGAAGAAACAACGGAATCAGCGCAGCTGACCCCGGCGTGACCACGCACGCCCTGGGGAAGCGGCGGCGCGCTCACGGAAGGAGCAGAAATGGAGGTGTGCATGGCGAGTGTCCAGCGCGGTCCTCACAGCTCCTCGTCTAGAAGGACGCTACTCATTGAAGGGGCCTTGGGACACACAAATAAATACACACAAACAAAATAATTCCCCATATTTCCTATATTTTCTGTGTTTTTTTGTCTTCCCCCCCGATTCCCATATTTTCCCATATTTTCCTAGGAGTCGACGATTGATTCTGTCTTTGTGTTTTTTCCCCTCCTGACCCATCCACACACGCCGATCCTAGCCAGGGCTATCCTGGGCCCTTGGCCCAGGATCGGCCTGGCCGGGACTGGTGTAGATGACAACCCTCGAAGAGTTCCTAGCCTGCGCAGATTGAGACGAAGAGTTCTCATGCCCTGGCTCCTTGCAAAACTCACGTATCTGCATGCGCAGCGCCCACTGCTCTCTTCACACTCCTTCCCGTCGTTCTCTTTGACTTGCGCCTTCTGTTAATCATGCTTCTACTGAGGACGATGACGCCGCAGCTGCTCCTGTTCTCCGCCTCCTTCTCATCCTGTCCCTTTCCCTCCTCCTCCTCCCCCTCCTCCTCCTCCTCCCTCCTTCTCCTGCTCCTCCTCCTCCTCCTCATCATCCTCCTCCTCCGCCTGCTCCTGCTCCTCCTCCTCTCCTCCTCCTCCTCCTCCCCCCCTCCTCCTCCGCCTCCTCCTCCTCCTCACGCTCGTGCTGCAGTGGAGCATCCCTCCCCTCCTCCACCTCCCGCTTCCCCCGCCGCTCCCGATCCCAACCCTCCGCTCCTGCCGGCCGCGCACGAGCGCGAGGCTGCGGCTCGGCGGACCTCGTCCACGCTCACCAGGTGCGTGACCTGGCGCTCGTCGACCTGGCGCGGAGAGCAACGGCGGGAGCATCACGACATAGACAGAAGAAGAAAGCACGCCACAAACATGAACTTTTGGCGCTCCGCGCAGATCGTGAAACTGTCACTTCCGTGTCACTTCCTGCAGGGGCGTCGGGCCACTTCCTTAGCACATCCTTGTCGCGTCCCTGTCACTTCCTGTCACTTCCTGAACCGGCAGGGTCTAGCGCACCTAGTTTCAGGACCGCTGCCCGCCCCCACTGCCAACACCCCTCCGATGCCCACCCCCATCTTGCCTCTCCCTTGACCTCCCACCCCCTCCGTCCCCTGCCCCCTCACCCTCACAGCACCTTTGTCCTGTAGTCCCCCCTCCCCCTCGCTACTCCATCTCGACGTGTACCCTATTCCCTTCCCTTCCCCCATCCCCCCCCCCTTAACCATCACATCGTCAAAGGGGGCGCAGAGGAGGAGGAGGAGGAGGAGGAGAAGGAGGAGGAGGAGGGGACAGGTGAAGAGGGAGAGGTGGGGTGCTGCAACACGCGCGCGGCAAAGCATGATGGGAATCGCGAAACGCGGGGGCGGATGGTCGCGAAGAGGAGGGAGCGCAGAGAAGTGGCCGCTGCCGTGTGAAGTCGGAGCTGCGGGGGGACCCCATGACTCCACCCGATCCGAATGAATGAGCCGAACAACGGCGAAGGCGCGAAGTGCCAGTAAGCCGGCAGCAGAGTAGGTCCGCATTTGAAGCGCCGCTGGCGTCAGCACACTATCAGCCAGCAAGCCTCTCAATCGCGCGGGACATCCGATCGCGTGCCTGCGAGTGCGTCGATGCTCATGTCGATCGCAGTAGAAGCGCACCTTCTACACGTCCTCTCATGTTCACTGTCAGCGAGGCACAGGGCGCTCGAGTTGAAGGGTGACAAGGCCGATTCTAAAACAGGGCTAGGATCGGGATAAATCGCTCCAGAGCGTTCCGGAGCGCTCTCAGAGCGTTCCGGAACGCTCTGGAGCGGCCGCGGCGCCCAATACATCCTCCAAACCCGCCGATTCTCAGAGATTTCGAGCTATCCCGATCCGATTTTGTCCCGACCTTCGCGTCGTCGATGTAACGTATCAAGAACAAGCTTATCGCATGCACCCTAAAAAGACGAGCTACACGTTCTGGGTGAGCCCTCCGCCTGCAGCTGTCGACCCGAGCAGCACGGGCCTCCGTGAGAAGACCGGGTTGCACGAACACGATGATACGGGGCGTGAAAACGACCACAGCCACTGCTTTTCTTTTGCTGCCGCCTTCCAGCCCGCAGAAACAAAGCAGTGGTTGTGGTCATTTTCGTTGAGCTTGGCACCAGGGAAATGACCACAACCACTGCTTCTTTTTCGGCTGGCTGGAAGGCGGCGCAAACAAGAAGCAGTGGCTGTGGTCATTTTCCCGTCCCGCAGATGAGGCACGCGAGGGCTGAACTGTGCAACTATACTGGTGGGTGGGCCGATCACAACGAGATGGAACAAGCACGAAAGTGGCGTCCCCATGCTACTCTATACACACGCTGAGAGAAGTTGGGTGGAGCAAGGAGGAAACAACAAGTCGTGACCTGTACATGCTAGGATAATTCGACAGCCAAGCGGGCCAATGGCGGTGGTCAATCTGGCGTTTTTTGTTAGCCCGCGCGTGCGCAAGGACGCACCGGGGGGGTCTGCGAACCTCACTGGGCCTCAGCGCCAAGTGCTGGCAAATGCCTTCCAAGAGCGCCCCAAAGACCGGGAGTCAGTGAGTATCAGGCTTCATGATGGCCCCGCGATGGCCCAAGCATGGCCCCAAGACGCTATCATCATGGCATGGCCCGAGCAAACCTAGCTGACACAACAACAGCCCAAAAAGACCCTCTTCGGAGGACCCCGAGAGGCCCAAATCATGTGCCATTCGTCCAACCTCTGGTTTTCCTACAGCCGTGCTTCCGACACGCTTCAAGACTGCCCACCCGGAGCGCTTCAACGTGGCCCCAGGAGGAGCCCCAAGAGGGACCAACAGCGTCCCAACAAGCGCGGGTGCCAACAGGCGGCAGGCATCATCTCAAGGGGCCTGCCACGTACTGGCACCAACCCTTGGCACGCCATCGCCGCGCTCTCCCACCTCACCGTGAAGCGGAAGTCGCGCAGGTGGTCCGGGGGCGCGGAGGGCCAACGTCGACGCCCGTCGTCGCGCAGGAGGAAAATGGGAGGGGATGAAGGGACGAGGGGAAGGAGGGGGAGGAAGAGGGAAGGGGGCAATCAGCTTCGAATCGGAAGATCGGATCGGATAGGATCGTGTATCGAATCGGACCGCATCGGCAAGGCGTCGGAATCAGGCCGCACCAGATCGGCCAAGAATCGGAACCGAATCGGATCGTGAGGGCCGAGATCGACATCCAATGGGATCGATCGGATCCAAAGGGACGCCGGGAAAGACAAGGGGGCGAGGGGGGAGGAGGAGAGGGGGGGAGGAGGAGGGGAGGAGAGGAGGAGGGGGAGGGAAGGGGGGGAGAGGAGGAGGGGAGGAGAGGAGGAGGGGGAGGAGAGGGAGGAGGAGGGGGGGAGAGGAGGAGGGGAGGAGGGTGGGAGGGGGAGGAAGGGGGGAAGGGGGAGGAGAAAAGGGGAGGTGGGAAGGCCGCTCTTCACCCTTCTGGCCCTCCTGCCGGCCCTCCGACAAGAGGGAGCCGGGCGCCTCTGCTGGCAGCGGGGGCTCCGCCAGAGGCGTCCAGGCAGCGACCGCCTCCACCCCCCGGGGGGGTGACCATCGAATCGAACACGTCGGATCCTGTCGGGAAACGAACTCTATATACACCGACGCTTTTTCCGGCCCTGCGCCGAACTTCGCACAGGAACGCGGATCCTGGTGTATACGGGATCCTGGTGTATGCATGTTTCGCTGATTCCCTTGGAAAACGGGGGAAAGGCATACACCACGCCACCCCGACGTCGTCCCCGACCCTCAAAAAGTAGTGGGATTGAAAAAAACAAAAAACAAACAAAAAACAAAAAAAACGCCACTGGTAATGTATATGTCCCAGTTTCCGGATCCTGTCGGGAAAAGTGCACCGGATCGGGCCGCGTCGACTCGGAGTCGCAGTCGAATCGGAACGGCCGCGCCCCGAGGCACAGCAGCGCCACGCAGGCGTCGGGCCGCAGGAGGTCATGAGCCCACCCCTCTTCCTGCTTCGTCGCCTCCTCCTCATCCTCCTCCTCCTCCTCCTCCTCCTCCTCCTCCGCCTCCTCCTCCTCCATTCCTTTTCCATATAAAAAACTTTTCCCTGTCGCACCCCGAGGCCTGTTTTTAGACCGGGGTCGGGCGTGTCGCCTGAGACTTTCTCACCAATCATGGCCCTGAAGCTACAAAAATGCCAACAATTTCACGGATCGAGGGCGGGTGGTTTTCAAAATGTGGCTCTCGCCCTAGCGCCGCGCACATTCGTTTTATAAGCATTGTCAGAGTTTCACGGATTGAGGACTGGTCGTTTCCAAAATGTTGTTCTCGCCTTAGCGAAGCGCACGTTCGTTTTAAAACTTCCCAAATGCTTGACTGATTGAGGGCGGTTTCTTTTCAAAAAGTGTCTCTCGCCTTAGCGCCGCGCACATTCCTTGTAAACATTCGCAATTGTTTCACGGATTGAGGGCGGATGTGGCTCCCCCCTTAGCGACGCGCACAACCGTTTTAAACAATTGCAAGAGCTTCACGGATTGAGGGCGATTCCTTTTTCAACTGTGCTCTCGCCTTCGCGCCGCGCACATTCGTCTGTACAATTTGCAAGAGTTTCACGGGCTCCCATGATCAGCGTACCAGAAATGGTGTTGGAAAGATTCAGGATCATGAGGACGGCAGAATTACACTCATTCATTAGCGGTATTGACATCCCGATAACGATGTTCTGGCACGGCTCAAGATGATCAAGATGCAAGAGTAAGATTAATCCGTGGCGTTGGAGTCCCAAGAGCAATGTTTTGGCATGCTTCAAGATCTCAAAACGCTTGTCTTCCAACGAGGCAGTTCCTTCAGTGGAAACGAACCGCTGTAGAGGCCTATGAAGAGGGAGCTTGGAGGGAGGGTTCATTCCAACATCGTTGATGGCTCTTGGGTTTACACTGGTCCTCCTCCTCCTCCTCCTCCTCCTCGTCCTTCTCCTCCTCCTCCTCCTCCGCGTCCTCCTCCACCATTTTCCCTCTGAATAACTCCTCCCTGCGCCAGTCGGAAGGGCGGACCCAGCGTTTCGCCTGAGCCTTCATAACCTTTTGTTCTGAGCCTGAGGCTTGGGAACTGGCCACAACTTCACAGATGGAGGGCGGGTCGTTTTCATAATGTGGCTCTCGCCTTAACGCCGCGAACAGTCGTCATAAAAAAGCTGCAGGAGCTTCACGTATTGAGGACACATCGTTTTCAAAACGATGCCATCGCATTAGCGCCACGCACAGTCATCTGAAAATGCAAAAGCTTCACGGATTGAGGACATATCGTTGTCAAAATGTGGCCGTCGCCCCAGGGCCGCGAACATACATGTTAAAATAAGGAGAAGCTTCGCGGATTAAGGGCGGATCGTTTTCAAAATGTGACCCTCGTCTTAGCGCCGCGCATTCGTGTTAAACACTTGCACTAACTTGCAGATTGAGGGCGGCTCCTTTCAACAAGAATGCGGCTATCGCCTTAGCGCCGCGCACGTTCGTTTCATACGCTTGCAAAATTTTCACGGAACGGTTCGGGACTGTCAGGGCGCAACAGTTACGTTGATTCGTGGTGTTAGGGTCCCAAGAATGGTGCTATGGCACGATTCAGGATCGTCCTACAGTCTGGTTGACGCGCGGCGTTGAAGTTTTGAGAATGGTCTTTCGGCACGCATCCGGATTTTCACACAGTTCTCTCCCAACGGGGCACGTCCCTCAGTGGAAATTAATACTTGCAGGGGCCGACGAAGAGGGAGCTTCGAGGGAGGGTGCGTTCCAACATCGCTGATGAGTCTTTGGTGTACACTGGTCCTCCCCTTCCTCCTCCTCCTCCTCCTCCTCCTCCTCCTCCTCCCCCCCTCCTCCTCCTCCTCCTCGTCCTCGTCCTCCTCCTCCTCCTCCTCCTTCCTCCTCCTCCTCCTCCTCCTCCTCCTCTCCTCCTCCTCCTCCTCCCTCCTCCTCCTCCTCCTCCTCCTCCTCCTCCTCCTCCTCCTCCTCCTCCTCCTCCTCCTCCTCCTCCTCCTCCTCCTCCTCTTTTTTTTTTTGCCGTCAACGGCTATGTCTCAGAAAAAGGTTTAAACCTGACAGAGCGAGACACCCCTGGCAGGCAAAAACGGGGCTCAGTCCGAATCGCTCGAAAACCGAGTCCTGGAAGGCCCCGAAAAAAGAACACGCGCAGCCTCCTCCTCCTCCTCCTCCTCCTCCTCCCACCCCTCCGCGACAGCGAGGGCCCCGCCTGCCGGGGCTCGCAGCGCGGGCCGGCCTCCAGCGGCATGGGCCTGGCCTGACCTCGCCCCTAAGGGAGGGGCGAGGGCGGGAGGGGTAGGGAGGGGGGGCTCACGAGGGAGCGGGGATGAGGTGAGACGACCGAGCGACGCCGACACAGGTAACGAGCAGCCAGTCTCCACCACGACATGTGGTTTGTCAGGATGGCTGCCCTTCTGGATCTTTCTCCAGTTCTTGTGACCTGTGACTGTCGGCGGCTGGCACACCTGGCCCAGTTTCTTGACCTGGGCCCCAGAACTGTAAGACCTGCAGTGCAGGCAAGTGAACAAGAATGAATTGTCGGAACAGACAAGGGCGATGACTTTGTGCCCCAGCCTATCCAGCACAGCAGAGTCGAGTCTGGAGTGGCCCCTGCACCCCCCAGGATCTGGCGGGCGCTTAGCGAGGGACCCTAGGAGGCAGACTCTGCACCTCCAAACTGAGCTGATGAGTTCCCATTGGTGCTGCAGCCGATGCACCGCAGGGGCAGGGGAACGAGGAACACGCTCCACCCCAAGGAACTCCACACGAGGCCAGAGGGGGAGGAGGGCAGCACCAAGGGACATCACCGTCTTAGAAACTCTAATTTTCCAGTCGAGCTCCCTAGACAGAACGGGGTCAAAGGCAGGGTGGCGTGCGACAGCACGCTTGGCACCAGCATCCGCTAGCTCGTTGCCCTTCCTCAAGAACCTTTCGTCCTCAGAGAGACCTGGGGCATCAGGGTCGAGGTGGGCATCGACTTTGGCCAGCGAACGCAGCTTCCCTTGCCCCAAAGACAGGCCTTGCAACATGAGCCCAGAATAAACCCTCTTGGGAGACTTGCACACGTCGAGGCCTAGGGAGTACTGTTTAACAACATTAGCGCAGTCACTGCACGCGTCAGCCTGGCCCCCTACACACACGCCAATGCCACAAAAGGCAGAGTACTCAGCAGCCTGGGGCGACTGCGCGTAGGGGGGCCAAACTGGGGCAGAAACTTCACAGACTAAATTGGCCTCGGGGTCCACCATGGCAACACACCAAGCGCTCCTGCAGAGCTCGGACACAGGGTGGCGGATGCACGAGCCATCAATAAACAAGGACCCCCAGACCCCAAGGTCAGGCGAGGTAGGAATGGGACCCAGGGACCCAGGAGTAGTGACCTCAGGGACCATCCAGTTGACCAAGACTTCACCATTGCTCTCGGGCCGAGGGAAGTAGTCACCAGGGTGCCGAAAGGCTCCATATATCCAGAGAGTGGCCTCGTACCCCTCAGCTGCCGTGTCGAGGGCACTGGCAATAATCTCCTCCTCAGCAATTTCTTCACGCACAGAGGAGCACGACGGGCACTCCCACAGGCGGTGCCACAGTGTGTCCACCTCGGAGTGGCACCGCTGGCAAATGTCACTGATCTGGTAGCCGGCTAGCTTCGCAGAACTGGCAGTCCAGATGGCGTTGCAGGCCAAGGCACGCATAGTCGACCTATCCCCGGGGCTGGTGCGTTTGGACCTGATACAAGATTTGACCATGTCCCAGCAAAGCCTGTGCTCGACCCCCAGCTTCTCCCCTGAAGACCGTTCAAGCCCCCTCAGCACGGCAGCCCGACACAAGACCCCCACAAGGCGGGGGGACAGCAGCAGGAGCTGGAGGGTCTCGCCCAGGTCCGAGATGATGGTGCAGAAGTCAGTCATCTGCCACCCTATGCGGTATAAGGACATCCTGAGGGCCGAGACAGGACCCCTAACCTTGGCCCAGGACCAATTATCACTGCCGAAGGTGACTTCCCAGGCGGAACGCAACGAAGCAAACGAAAGGGCCCCATCAAAAGCCTTGGTCTGCACAAGCCACAGCTCCTTGCACCAACGAATGATGGGGGCCACACTCGCTCTCCAAGGGGGGTCCCCTTCAAGGAGCGAGAGGGTGGTGAGGGAACGGTGCTGGGACTTGGGAGAGATGGTGGCCATGCCTTTACTCCTGAGCGAGTGGAGTTCGCGGTCCGAGACTCCCCAAATTTCAGCCCCAAAGGTGACGCCCGCAAGCGGGCCCGACGCAAAAATCTTAACAGCGGACCTGCCCAGGTTGCTTTTATGCTTGTCAAGGCGCCTGCATTGACGGAGAAGCTTGGCCTGACGAGCCTTAAGCTTGGCTGATTTACCCTTTTTTGAGCCTGGGGTAGTGGTGCGTAAAGACCTGCCTGCCGTGTAGTCAGTACCCAAGTTAACCACTGAGGCCGAGGGCTTGCCGCACAACTCTCCCAGTCGCTCCTCGAGCTGTATAGCTATCGACTTGTGGCTGCACACACATCCCACTTTGTCGAGCGCCAGCACACA